AGTATATTATATTTTCCTTTTACAGCTGCAGACTGAGGAAGATCCTGAAACACACCAGCAAACCCTAAAACAGACAACAGTTTACAGATGTTTTTCAGTGGCAGCAGAACTATGACTAAACTTTTGGGTGAAACTTGTTTACTTTTTTCATACTTTTATTACTTGTGGAAAAACTTTAAACAATTTTAAATAAGTATAAAGAATGGCATTGGTTTTGTACATTTAATTTTTGTTTAATGTTATTAATAAAAAATGTTGTTCAATTAGCATGTTTTTGTGTTTTGCTTTGGTACCGAAATTGGTACCGAGAACCGTGGATTTTCACTGGTATTGGTACCGAATACTGAAATTTTGGTACCGTGACAACACTAGTGGGCAATATGGCAAAAATTTCATATCACAATTTTTTTTTTCAGGAAAATCACGATTCTATCACTATTCTTTGTCATGTTGGTTTAACCATTTTGCAAGTTGTCTGAGCAGTACAGCCAAACTAATTTCTCTATTTTAAAAACAAGGCCTCGGTAACAAAATATAAAATAAAAAAAGAAAAGCAAACATTTACGCTAAAGTGGACAAAGATAAAAATCTTTGTCATTATTTACTCTTTGTTATTAAAAAATAATAACAAAGATACACATTACAAATACACATAATATACAAATAAAACTTTATTTTTCAGGTACAGTAGGTGTATTTAGCAGTATCATTCAAGAAATGGAATGAACAAATACAAAAAAAACACTATAGACACTTCACTGTATAAATTATACATTGATTCATATTAAAGCAACTGTATTAAAGTTATTCAGTCAAGAGCAGCGAGTGACTTTTCTTTTTGTGTTTTGATGTTTTATTAACATTAAAGGGATAGTTCACACAAAAATTAAAAATCATTTAGTCACTGACTCAAAGTTGTTTAAAACCTGAATGAGTTTGTTTCTTCTGTTGAATGTAAAAGTTTTGAAGAATGTAGGTAACCAAACAGCTGCTGGTCCCCAGTGACTTCCATAGTATTTTTTTTCCTACTATCAATGTCAATCAGGACCAGCAACTGGTTACCCACATTCTTCAAAATATCTTCTTTTGTGTTCAGCACAAGAAATTAATACAGGTTTGGGACAACATAAGAGTGAGTAAATAATGACAGAACTTTAATTTTGGGGTGAACTATCCCTTTAATTACAAACGGCAGCATTTAGTCTGCTGTCGCTTTAAGAGCTGCATGCATCGTATGGCACTTTTCCACTGCATGGTACGGCACGGTAATATACAAGCACGCATCTGTTTTTCTCTCAACTGTTTACTTTCACTTTAGACATAACCAATTGTAATAGATAAACCTTGTGTTTTTTTGACCGTATTAGCGTAATCAGACGTGAAAGATAACTTAGTCCAGTAATCAGGCGCTGTTTGACAGGTTTTTTAGCGTGCGACGGAGGCGCCAGAACTGCAACTGATAGAATGTGCACTGTAACACGATACTATAATCTTTCTTCAAAAGCAGATCATGGAGACATTTTAATCATCCATGATCAAAAATCGTGATATCGCACACCCCAGGTCAATGCATCCCTGCCATTTAAAAAAATATAATAATAATAATAATAATAGTTTTATAAACTGATAGTGTAAAATAAAATTATCAGAATTGGACAATACAAGAAAGCCTTCAAAATAGTTTAATACTACTATTATGGCCATGTTTGCCATTTCAAATGCAATACCGCTTTAGAAATGATCTGAAAAGGTGTGACTATGTAGATACTAGGGCTGGGTAAAAAATAAAATAAAAGTCTCGATTTTAATCAATTCTCATTTTTCGAAACGATTCTTAAATCCTGTCTCATGTAATCGCTCAATCAGCATTTCAACTGCGGAAAGATGACAATATTACAGCTTGTAAACAATATATGTCACGTAACGTCACATTTGGGGAAAAAAAAAACATTCGGTGACCATGAACTCGTTAGTCAACTAAAATGAACTCTAGAGAGGAGCATTTTGCTAAATATATGCACCATATAACATATTCATTATAATTTTTACTGTTCTCCAATATTTAATTTATGTTTGAATAAATCCGTTTTTAAAATTTTATGACAGCCATCATTTAAATGTTTAGTTCAAAAAAAGAAATGGAGTAGAAATATAATTATGTAATTGTAATGTTAGTATCACTTTATTAGTTAATGTTAGTATTATAACTTTATTAATCTAAAAAAAATCTAAATCTATTATAAAAAAAAAGTCATTGAGTGTAATTTAAGTTTGTATACAAATCAGTTAATTTTAACCTTCAATATTATAGTAATGTAGTACCAACTGACTCTCACGTATATATTTTATAGCATTTGTTGAGAGATTTTTTTTCCTTGAGAAAATTTGAAATGTGCTGTACCTGATATATCCAAAACAATCAATATCAAATCAGAACCGAATCAAATCAAATCGCAAGCTTGTAAATCAAAATAGAATCGAATCGTGAAATTTGTGTCAATATCCAGCCCTAGTAGATACTGTAATAATAGTTGCCAAAGCAAGAGTATAACACCATGAAAAAACATTGCAAAGAACTGGGGCACAATAACAGTCAGAAATTTCTCCCAAAATACAAAAAAAAAATACGAAGTAGTCCATGTCCAACCTTCAACTTCTTATAAACCATTAAAAATGATTAAATGGGTCAAAGACAAATTTCAAGTCCTGGGGCAAAGCCTAGCAGAACAGAGGGGGAAGAGTGCAGATCTATGCCCATGAGGACGACCCAGCAAACAGCAAACTGAGCAACTGAGGGGAACAGAAATGTGAGGAGAAAGGGAGAACGATAAAAATAGAATGAAAAATTAGGTGTAGAACGACAGAAGAAATGAAGGAGCTTTGAGAAGAAAAAAATATGGAGTAGAGAGAGAGCATGTGTGAGAGAGAGGGAGATAGTAAGAAAGGTGCAAGGATACCATTGAGATCGACCACTGAGGGCTTCTGACCCAATTCTGTCCCCAGCTAAATGCATAATCTCTGGAGAGAAAGAGTATGAGGTAATCTCTGCATGTAGGGGCTGCAGCAGACAAGCACACACATATCTGGCCGCTTACTCTACCTGCAAGCCCAGTGTTAGGGCAAAAATCAGCCTTTTGTAAGGAAATGCAAGATGGTTTAATTATGGTCTATATTACAGAGATAGCATTTGTGTGGATGCAGGGGGAAAAGCAGTGCCTCTGCAGACCACAATTCATAGGGAAGCGTAAGCACTTTAACACACAAAACATCAATACATAACATCAATTAACAGCTGCCAAAACCAATAAAACTCAAATGCACATCAATGTGAGTAAAACCATAATATGACCCTTTATGTAGACCCATACACATATCCATGCAGGGAACAACTTTACAGAGCACTAAAACAACAGGGCACATTCATAAAACACCCATTGCAGTGTGCTGTGTTTCACTCTGACAGATGTGGCGCTCACAAACCAGCACCTGCTCGCTGCAGATCAAAGCAGGTAAAATGTATAATCAAAGGTCAACCTTCAAGGACGATCACACCACCAATACTTGACTTCTAAATGGATCTTAATTGGGATGCTGACTAAGTATTAGGGGTGGGACAATATATCGATATGGCGATATATCGTTGTCCTTCTCCATGTGATACGAGAATCGATATCTGGCGCCAAATATCGATATTTTAATTACTACAATAAGGCACTCTATATAGATTTCCCTGCTCCCAGCATCTAAAAATGCGTGGAAATCACGGCCGCGCCATTTCCACCTTCTTTCCAAAGCATTCTGAGCAACCATGAACCGAGTTCTCTATGAAGATGGGGAAGCAGGAGGAACCGAAGGATAAACAGATTTCCAGCCACTGTATTAGCTCTACTGCTATATATATGTTTATGGAAAATGAGAACTAAAAACTGCCCCGGAACAGCTATCAGCATGGACCATAGGCACCGATCACGTTATTATTGCTGAGCGCTTATTCAGTCCATGAGTAGCCTAACCTCTCCGCTCTGATCGCAGGTGGATTTCCCTCACTATATGAGAGAGCGCCGCCGGCGCGTCCAGTTTTATGTGAACAAAACTGGATGCTCTCCCTCTCTCTCAGATAATACAAGTGAGCGTTATGCAGTGGGCACTGACCGGCAGAAACATAAATCTGCACCTATGGAATGGACAACGAAACAAAACCTCATCAGAGCCGCATGTACTTAACATGTTAAATTTGATTTACAGAACTTCTGTGCTGTTTTCTAACAGTTTGGACTTGAATAAAGAGAGAAAACTTGCACTTAACCTTTTCACAGGCATTTTGTTTTCATAGTTAGACAGATATCGTGATGTATCATTATAGAATTGTCTAGCAATATATTGATTATCGCAGAATCGCTGTATCGTGCTATTATCATATCGTGAGCCATGTATCGTGATTCGTATCGTATCGTGAGGTACCCTGCGATTCCCACCCCTACTAAGTATTGTTGTTTAATCGTTTGGGATTCAAAGTGTGGTTTTCTGATTAAAACTGTGACCCATTTAGCGGCCAAAAATGTTGTGATTATATATCAATATGACTAGAAAATAACAACTACAACAATTATTATTATAATTATTAATACTATTAAATATAAATAAAATAAATATTACTATTGTTATATTTCACTGTAAAATAAAAAAAGAAGTCTTTAAGAAAAATAATGCAATCATTTTTAATAAAAATGTACCTGTAAAATTACAATACTAATATTTCTGGCTATCTTCATTTCTCCATTTTCAAATGTTAAATAAATTAAGCTTTTATTTTCATGGAATACCACAGGGAACTATTAAAGCTTCACTTTTGTTAACAACAGCCACTTTAGAAGCACTTCTAATTAAAAGTTTGAGAATATGATTGGCGAATATTGCATTCCCAAATGCATGTTTCAAGTGACCCAAACACAAAGACGCAAAGATTTCCTGCGAACATCTGTGACACTGAAAACACCGGATCATGAGCTGCTTGTGCTTGAACATCAAATTAAAAATCATATAGGTTCTGATTGGAGAGAATGTTGTGTGAAACACAGGTGCTGTATGTAAGTTTTTGACTCTACTAAAGCATAAAAATATCATAATATGTTTGCAGATATTTAAGAAACATGCTAAGTTAACATACTTGTTTATCTGAAAAACAGTGCTACAGTCAGTTATTCTCCTTTGAAAATGTGCGTTCCGGGCCGGAATGTCGGTCTCTGTTTTGGTTTGTGAAACCCGCCCACTGCCAGTTTACCCAATTGTACTTCGGCACCCTGGGTTGCCAGTTGGCGGTAAACACAAGAGTATTTCATTGCATTCATCGTCATGTGCGCTCGTTCCTGTTGGTGTCGTCAATCTGGCAACCTGCGTGTGCGTCAAGTCTGAGGAGAAGGGGCCGGGTGAAAAAACCCTCTCCAATATTTTGAATTTGGACTGCAATACCTAGTTCAACCACTAGTTGTCAATCCTACATACAGCACCTTTAAGGCTGGAATACACTACACAACTTTTAAAATCTGAACAGATTTTAAAACACTGGCCATCATACACTTACCGACTTTGTAAATGGTTACAGATGAAAAACTGGCCATCATACACTAAACGGCCATGGATCACACACTACCAGACTTTAATTCCGATCACAACAAACTCACGCAGAAATGTGCACCTTGTTGCTAGGAGACACATAACAAATGAAAACAATATGCGTTCTAAAATCAGCTCAAAATATCAAACATGTTTGATCTCCTCCGACTAGATGGAATCAAAGTCTGAAGCTAAAAAAAGAGTCTGTGACCATCATTCACTATGCGATTTTCTACTCAATCCGTCAACTCAAATCTGCAGAGTGGCTCTGACTTCTGGCAACTAACGTCGACTTCTCCAGACTGAAAATCGGGGCAAAAATCATGTAGTGTATTCCAGCCTTTTGGCTAGAACACTGTGTATGAGTGTGGATGTTGACGACGCTTTGCACAACAGAGGCAGTCAAACTAGTTCTGAGAGTTTGTTTTTGCTGATAACAAGAACTTGTGACAGGAAGAGAGGCAACAAAGCACAAGGGACAAAGTCAAACTAAACCTCCCAGAGGCTTTTGAATAATGCAGATATCAAATATGTTTTCACCAAGCACATAAATATACACTCTTTCACATAGACACAAACCTTATCTCATAACTTGATACACAATCACATTGTCTACTCACCACTTTCTCTTCCTTCTGGTTGTCAGAGGGCTGCAGGCTCCACTCAATGTCCAGAGGCCCAGAATCCTCAGCAGAGAGAGTAAACTGACAGTCCAGCTTCACAGTCTCTCCACTGGCTTTCTCAATGGATGTGGGGCTAGTGGAGGTGATCTGTAGTCCACAGGCAGAGCCTGAAAAGAGCAGAAACGATAATGCTTTCAAACAGTAATGAACATGCCGCATACTATTTCCAAAACTAATCATTTTAGTTAAATAATTAATAATAAATAATTACTAAATAATTTGTGCGATCAGCTTCTTTTGTAAACGTGGACGGATGTTGTTTTCACATCACTGCATGGTTTGGATCTGATATCAATACAGAAGTTATAACTCAAAGCCTGTGAAATGCAGCATCCTTGAGACAATGACCAAATTCTGTGGTCTGAGAAGATATGCTTGGTGCATAGCCTCATTAGAGCTGAAGATAAATACATCCGGGATCATCTATTCTTGGAATGAACTTAATTTAGTAAATGACTTCTAACAGAGCACACAGCAGTGGGGCTCTGTACAGCAGAGTTCAAGAATAAGTATAGACATTAGATAAACCTCAAAAAAGCATCTATCATCATCATACGCTATCATTTTCTAACAGAATCCAGACAGGCAGAGGCACAGTTTATAAGCTCCTCTTGATTGATGATACATAGTAAAAACCATTTCTTTACTGTCAGGAACAACCAGCAATATGCAAGTCATATGCATGTATATCTGTCTATCTTCAGCACTGGATTTTTACACTGGATATATGCAAGCATAATAAAAGACCAAAAGTCATTGTAACCAAGTACTGAGTACATGTGGGATGTTTCTAAACAAGTTTCAGTGAGTTGACTCCGCCCATAGACATTCATAGTGATGCACAGCTGAAACTTCAGAACAAGAAAGTCCAGTTTTTTGAAAACAATTAGAAACAGGTGGAGTGCCATTCCCGTAGAGATCAGAATATTGTAGAGGATGCCTCTGGCTACTAATCAGAGTTCAGTCCCATGAGGTTCTGCTCTTTCGTCACAATCAAGGGACTGGTTGTTGATCAGCTTTTAAATTACATTTCACACAACACAAACAGTTGAATGAAGCTGCAGGGTGTGTTGCACCGCATTATATAAGAGAGAATCGTTTAGATGTCACACTTATGACAGTGTGTGAATTTACCTTGGGTATCACTGCTGCTTTGATTTGTGGGGTCGAAGAATATTACGAATGTGTATCACACAAGGAATACTGATTCAAATGAAAAGCGGCACTGCAGTCAACAAATTAATATTGCTGGCACGGGCCATTCAAAATCCCCCCCATTAACAGTAATATATGCTCATTTACCCGTGATCAAAGTAATTCTTTAAACTAATGGATCCTTTGGTGACCATGGCTGAAGGCTGCATTTCATTTCATTTTAATTAATATAGCCAGCTCTCTAGCAGAGATCAGGGCTACGTTGAGGACATGACTTCATTCAATCACTTACGCCTATTCTCTCCATCTGGAGCCATAAATCTGGTTCTAAAACCCATAGTGCTGTGCTCCACTACCACGCTAATTGCAACTCTTCTACAATTTTTTTTAATTATTTTTACTATCAAGTGACTAAAGAACATATGCCTTTCTTACCAAAAATTACAAACCAGTCTAAACAGGCTTTGCTACAAATCAAAGCCACCCTTTACTGCCCCACCCTTTATCTCAACTATAATCATGCAAATGAAATAGTACATAACAGTTTGCGTATATGATGGACGTCAGTAATCAATACTGGCCGAGCATGAATACAGAACAAGAGAGCTGAACTGAATATAAACGAAGCATGGCTGTACACAAAAATGTGATTTTCAATTTTCGTTCAATGTGTTCAACAGAGCCAACAGATGTACAGATGCACTCATGAAACGAAAATCACACATACTAAACAAGACACCAAAAATGACCAGGTAATGGTCTTTTTATAGTACCTTAGAGCATCTGCAGTGGCATTTCACAAATGTTTCTTTCAAATTTGTTATTGAATGGGCCTTATTTCCAGTGTGCTACTAGAATATCTCAACTGGGTAAAAGAGTGAATGAAACCAAAACATTTAAAATGCAAATTGAAGGTTTGCTAACATCAATATCCTCATATCCAACTAAACTAATTACACATGCCACAATTCATTTTTCATTATCACATGATTGGGCACCATTTTGACGGGCACATCATAGCAACCTATCAATAAACCACCACAGATGAGTGTTGAAGTCGCCAAAGACTAAAAGTGGACTGCCATCCTCTGGGAATGAGGACAGCAGCCCATCCAACTCTTCTAGGAAGGTAAATTATTGTAAAAATGATTTCATATTAGAATTACACTGACATTTAAACACATGTAAGCATCTGAGGCCAATTTAAAGCAGGAAAAACTGCTCCCATTTCAAAATTCAAGACATGCTAAACTGCAGAGCTTACGTAATCACGTAAAACGGAAAATACACAGTACATGTCTGCATTCAAATATCTGAAGATTAAGGAAACAAGAGGAGATATTAATCAAGAAAAGACTTAGGATCTGCTGCCTTGGTAAAAACATGTGTAAGGCCACGTTCACACAGCAGCAGAATACGGTTGTCAGTCCTGTTTTTGAGTCCTTAATATGGTTACGTTCACACACAGTTCAGTTATTTACGGGCTTGACAACCACATTCTGTAACCGAACTCATACCCGTAAATTTTCAGGACTCATAACCGCAGTCTCGGAACACATGTGTTTTGTGTGAACGGAACAGGACTGAACAACTAGTTGTCTCTGTAGAAGATTTTTATTAATCCAAATAGGAATTAATCAAGTATAATCATTATGAATATAGCCATTTAAATATCCAGTTATACTTCCATTATAATCCCATATGCCTGTGTGTAGAAACAGGCCTACGTGGCAGAATGTACAGACCTCAGATGAGAAACATCTGGGAAACATAAGTGGGGGCTTTCTTTCTTTACCATAACAAGACTCAGGGGGGGCTTCTCTCTAGGGAGAATTGTATGCACAAAGGAACCATTCTATGTATGGAAAACGGGTCTTTCGTTAAATCTTCATTAACCAACAGCAGCTTTTAAATTTGGGTGAAGTGCGGAGCATTTGAATTAGGGCTGCACGATAAAGCGCATGCGATATTTAATGTGCATCTTGTCAGTAAAGCCGGTCCTTTAATCAGCGGTAAATCTCCATCACCTGCGGGCTTTCACATGGAGCAGCATTAACTACACAGAGCCGTTGTTCACTGACAAGCTGCGCAAAACCACGATCATATTTTGCGCATGTTTTGTGCAGCTTGTCAGTGAACAACGGCTCTGTGTAGTTAATGCTGCTCCATGTGAAAGCCCGCAGGTGATGGAGATTTACCGCTGATTAAAGGACCGGCTTTACTGACAAGATGCACATTAAATATCGCATGCGCTTTATCGTGCAGCCCTAATTCAAATGCTCCGCACTTCACCCAAATTTAAAAGCTGCTGTTGGTTAATGAAGATTTAACGAAAGAACCTGCGGCTCAATTGGACTCTTGTTGTGTCAGAAAGTGATAAGACTTTCAGTTTTATGGACATCGCCATCTTTGATTTTACTTTGGTCACTGTCGCTATGGTTACTGGTAAGGAATACGGCTTGACTCCCATTGCACGTTCATACAGACAGTATTCTAAACACAACTGTAAGCTGCTGTGTGAACGGGACATTTCGAGACTCACACCTGTAAAGAAAATGCGGTTGTCAATCCCGAAAACTGACAGTGTGAACGTAGCCTAATACTACTCTACATAAACAACAGACATGTTGCTGGAATCTCATGGAACCTCAACAGTGCCATACTGAAGTTTGAAGTTCAAAATACACTTCTAGTCACATGACCAGGTGCTGCCCAACACTAGAGCTAATCTCAAGTGAAACGGATGCTGACCATGTGGGTCTGAAATAAGGGGGACCTAACTTCTAAGAATATCCATCTCTGCCTTGCTGTTCTTGACCTCCACCAGTTGAGCATGACACAACAAATCCATGAGGTTTAAAAGAAAGCAATTTGACCTACTAGAATGAGGCCACAAGACCACCACAACACTCTCTTTTCTCAGTCCCCCATTTATCTCCCGCTCTCATTCCCATCCTAACTCTCCTTCTCATGTCCCGTGAGCCCCAGCCCTGCTGATTGTAGACCCCCTTTGTGTGCTCACAATAGGTAAAGAATCCTGTCTCCTGGCAACGTTGGGGATAAACGAAAAGGGGGAAGGTAATGCAGATAAAGAGTGAGAAATACAAACAAAACCAAAAAAAGTGGGGGAGGCTGAGTGAGAGGAGAGTAATGTCTTGGTGTGGACAGAAAGAGAGTGAATGTAAACAAAAGACTAACAGCAATGGGATTTACAATCAGCTTTAAATTGCAGAACACAATTACAATCAGTTGCAGATCAGAAAAACCCATTTACTGTGTCCCAATTTGCCTACTTATACTATGCCCTAAAAGTAGGTACTCTTTTTCTGAAGTAGTAGTACATACTTTTGAGTATGTAGCAGAATAGTAGGCAAGCTTTGGGACATACTACTTCGTCATAACTGCGTCTTTAACGGATGCTCTGTTGCTTAGTTACGTACATCCTGTCACTATTTAAACTGCACTGTCAATCATCTTGTCAAAGTTAACATTATCCATATTTTGTTTAATTTCCTACCGTATTCTAGAGAAATGAAGAGGCATGTTGATCTGCCAGTCGCGGGTCTACCATGCTGAGAACATGCTGCAAAAAATCGCGCGAATATGAACGTGGTTTTGCGCAACTCGTCAGTGAACAACGGCTCTGTGTAGTTAATGCTGCTCAATGTGAAAGCCCGCAGGTGATGGAGATTTACCGCTGATTACAGAACTGGCTTTACTGACAAGATGCGAGTTAAATATCGCATGCGATTTATCGTGCAGCCCTATTTGGGACATAGGCCTACTAATTCTAATTTCGAATACGATTTAGGATGGATATAGTATGTGAACTGGGACACAGCAATTATGTCAAAGTTAAAAAAAACAAAACAAAAAAAACGTCCTGGGTCCACAACCTTAATAAGCAGCAACAAACAAGACTAGAATAACACAAACGGGAAATGATGAATAG